AAAAAATGCAATAGTTTCATGCCATTAAATTTTTGCTTTATTTTTCCTTCTTAATAGTTCATTTTTCAGCCAAAAAAACCACAGCAGCCAATTGCAAGTTAGCATTTCAGATCGTGCTGTCTGTATAAGGCCACTCTTTAAGATATAAAGGACACAGCTGTGAAATCCTGAGTCCCCTTGCCTATGCTGCTACGGGCACAGCATTTCCTCAGCGCTATGCAAAATTGCCCAGAGGTTGTGGGGCTAGAAGTCATAGAGATTGCATTTCCTAGCATGAAGTTTGAAGTTACACCTGCTACAATGTAGTTACAATTGACTGAGCGTAACTCCAAGTTTATTTGTGAAGGTAGGCATGCAAATATGAAAACTACAAAAATTCACTTTTAAAAGAAGAATAGCCCGTATCCTCCTCCTGTTTGAAATAAAAAGCAGCTTCCTCTAAATTTAATTTCGAGCAGAACTGAACCCAGCCTATTTTGCTATGACCTCTGCTTTGCAGCATACGCATAGCAAGGCGTTTCCCAGAAGCTTCTTTCTGACTTCCAATAAAAAGCCGAAGCGTTCTGTGGTTTACAGCAGAGACATGGAGTCTTGCCAGGAAGAATCTGCAGCTAAGAGTCGCTTAGCTTGAGTCTTTGGTTTCCTAACAGTTCTGTGTTCAGGGAGAGAATCATCAATAAGGGAGGCTGCAGTATTTATTTCCCTTGTTTTCTTTTATTCAACAGCTATTACTCTTCAGGTAGTTGCTGTAATTTCCGTTTCAGAAGGGTTTGTTATGAGTGCTGAGGTCCTTTTTCTGGCTGATGTAGCAAAACATGTAATTGCTATTAAACCTTTGTACAATGACCTGCTCTACGTAGACAGTTTTAAACTTTGTACAGCAAATTAATTCCTTCATTTTGATCAGAAAGTACCTTAGTTTTCTCATATGAACATTGGGTTGTTATTGGTCTTTTCTATCTCTTTTTCTTTTTAATTGTTTCATTTTCTTTGCAGATCTGGGATTATTTTGAGATGTTTTCATAAAATGCGGTAATGAGTACTCTCAAGCTGGTAGAGTTGCTTTGAATTTACATCAATAAAGTGCAGTTGCAAAATGTAATGAAATCAACATTGCGTGATTCACAAGGGAGCGTAAGGAATGACAAAAATCATAGTGATGTCTCTATGGAGTGACGTCAGCACAAAGCAGTACTCCAATGACAAAGACTGTCTTCCTCATACAAGAAGGTGCTATTGATTTGATTTTTTTTCCTTTCCTTTCCTTCCCCCCCCCCCCCCCCGAATTAAACAATGTAATCCAGACTTGCCAGTTGTCCCAGGCAGTGTACATGTTCTCTGGCTAAATTGGATATTTAATGGGACATTGATTTGTCTTATTGGACACCCAAATGAGCTTAAGAAAGCATTAATTATTCATTTAAGCTGGTCTTGTAAGCAAGAGTGGAAGTCTCAACCTAGCTTGTCTTGAGAAGTTCTTCTGTGTATATCTCATGTTATAGACCTTTACATGGCTCACCTTTACGTATCTTATGTGTGTTCATTAATAAAGAACAAAAAAATGTCTTCAGGCAGTGCCCAGCAGCATAGGAAGCTGAAACTGTTGTAATCAACCTGAAACTTTGGAAAAGTTTCATTGGTGATCTCTTGTAATTAGTCTCTTTAAAACTGTAAAGACTGTGACAACTTAGAATTCTACAGGTACTGTAGCTTTCATAGTTAATCTTGAAAAGTGCTAGAGGAATATAAATAAGACTAAATATTCAAAGAGATTGTTACACCTGTTTGATCTGTGTGCCTGCTTCCAACATCCCTTGGTTCAAGTGTAGACACTGCATTAGTTTAACTAGTGCCCGTTTAAAAACAAGTTCACTTAGTAGCCTAGGTAGTTTAATGGAATGATGTTTGTCTGAAACTGGAGCCGTTGTGTGAGGGGGCATCTGCACCTTGCTAATGCGAGCTAGACTGATACCTTGTGGTTAATCTCACACAAAAAGATCTATGCGCCTTGTTATACTGCTTGGGCTGAACTGATGTGAAATCCCATTTTGACGTAATCTGACATGATTTGTATGTAGACAAGTATCAGTTCACATCAGTATACTGGAATTGGTAAATATTTGACTTGTGTTTATATTACGATACCCGTGCAGTATGTGCTTTATGATACTGGTGAGCCCCAGTACTGAACCAAGAATGTGTTGCTTTGGTAGCACCTCTCCCTCAGAAAGCTGTTAATTTATGTTCTTTCAATTTGGAAGATAGTAGTGGTGTTAATATATTTGGATTTGAATCTTCAATAAAGGCAACGTATCTCCTCAAGTTAGTGTTTGTTCACTCATGCACTTTCCAATGAATGCTGCTTCCAGAAACATGGAGGCTGTGGCATATGTGACCATTGGGACTGACTCACAGTATGTCAGGACATCATATGTCCTGTAAGCTGGCTGGACTTCGATCAGAAGCGTTTAAATAAGCTGTTTGTAAAGGTATTTCTTTTTCTTTATTCCCTGCTCTGTCCTCACTGGTGACTATAAGGGGTCACCTCTGCCACTGAGAAGCCTCGTGTGTGTTGCCAATATCCAGAGGAGAAAGCTTGCAATCAGTTCCTTGCAGGAGAACAAAAGTCAATTAGTCAATCTTGACCTACAATGCCAAAGTGAGGCCAGTAAGACAAGTACCATAATTAGCTTTGCTTAAGAGATCAGTCTGGAAATAGCAACTAGCAGTATTTGTATTCATTTAAATGGCTGTAAAGGCAGAACTGTAAATAAGTTGTGTCATTGGACCAGTCTTGAAACCATTGATTTACTGTCTAATAAAGAGCAGAAACTTGTCTTTCAGATCAATACAAGAAGATCTGGATGCCGGCATGCAGAGTTTGTTAGGGTGTCTTCCTTGATCCAGTTCCTCATTTGAGCAGCTTTAAAAATTCTGTTACCTTTTCTTCAGTTGGCATCAGACCCATCTCAGGCTGTCTGGATCTGAGAGGGAATTTTCCTCGTAATAATTTAATTTGCTAGCGCTTGTCTCTATGTTTGCCTCTTGTTTTCTTTCTTTCTTTCTCACTGCATAAACTATGTGTTTCCTTGGTTACAAGTTAATAGTTAATAGTCTTGTTTGGAAGAATAATAACTTCCACTCCAGAAATAGTATTGCATTGAGGACTGTTAGATGTGGTTCACTCAAGGCAAGGCATTTACCAGGCTCTTATTTAAATGGAGCTGCTAATTGAAAGACTGGTGGGCATTGCCAACTGCATTCTGTTCATCAGTATGGGCTGAATAACTGCTCGAGGGAAATAGTTGGAATGAGGCTACCAGAGGAGGAGGTATACAAAACTTTGAGCTTGAGTAGAAGGATTCAGCCATTTTCTTTGAAGACGGGAGTGTGGGGGCATGTGAAAGGGTGAATAACGAAATAGCAGTTTGGCTAGACTTACAGCAGAAATTATTGCTTGGAATATTTGTTATCCTTTATTTTTGGTGCTGTTACTCCTGTAATCACATATTAGGCTTTTTTTATTATTAATCTTGTATTTATATAATGCACAATGATAGCAGCATTTATTCGCTAAGGCATTTATAAAGGAGAGTAATATAGAAAGACTTCATGAAGCGATGGGGCTTTTTCCCTAGAAATCCATTGAGGAAAGGGAGGAAACTTGTGCAGTAAATATGAGCAAGGTATCTGTTATGTTGCTGCATAAGCAGTAACTTAAAAAAAAAAAAAAAGCATAATTCTGGCTGGGGAGATGTCAGGAATTGATCAGGAAAGGAAAAGAGCTCCAGAAAACACAGAGTTAAAATAATGAAGAAGATTCCCAGTGACAGTGCTGTGGGCGTATCGGCAGTCAGTCCTTTTGCGGGCCAGGAAAAGCAGACCAGGAATGGTATAAAGGCAGAGGCGTGGGTACAGAGGTATGTTTTCTCAGAAATGTTCTGATGAGCATCGCTACTTTGAGAACAATATTACAAGGAGGACAATTCTCTACTGCTAGAATGGGATGTGGGAGGGAGATTTGAAGGAACATAGTTTTGTTTGGGAACATTCTGGGTAATATTTTCCACTTCAGACAGTACAGTTGAGACTCAATCTTGCTCTAGCTCACAGCCGTTCATTTCTATTGGGGCCCCAAGCTGCTACAAGAGACATCTGAAGCGAAAGTTAAACATTTTCTACGGAAGCCAAATATGGAGCAATAAAACTTATTACGACAATGAAATACACAATAAAGCTGCCAGAAACCTTTCCTGTTCCATCTAAGCTGTGCTCAGGGCTGTGGGATAGCTGATGAATTACCAGTACCTGGAATTTTGTCTCCCTGACTATATTGCAGATGCTTTGGTCATTTCTGTCTACTCATAATATCTCTAATTTGCATGCAGAGAGTTGTTTCTGCTAGAATTAATGGGAGTTAAAACAAATAACATTGGCTTCTTTTCTCCATAGATGTGCTTTCCCTCTGTTAGGTACATGCTATAGTGAAATGGAGATGTTTGTAGTTTATATTTAATACAGTCATTTGCATGCAAAGTCAGGCTGCCTGGTTCATCTGGTTTCCCAAAACATGGTTTGGAATTGCTTTCCTTTCATTCTTTTTGCTTGGATTGTATTCTTTCTTGGATTAAAATAGCCCAGTTCCTGTTGCCTTATGTGCTCATTGAATGGTTTACACGCACTTATCTTCTTGGAAAGAAAGGCTTAGGCAGGCTGAAACACTTTGCGGCATTGAAACTGCGGAGGGAGTTTTTCCTCATCTTTCCATGGCAGCCTCGGTGGAAAGAGGTAGTGGTTGATGTGAATGGCTTAAACTACTGGTTTATGAAAAGGCTATATTTGAAAAAAAATGGTGGTAACTTTTTAGATGAGCGTAAGATGTGAACGTATACATTTGTATCGTGATAAAAAGTGTTTGAGAACACACATTTATGTACAGGAGAAAGTATTCTTTTTGTTTGGGTTTAAATTGTTGGGTTTTGGTGTTTTTTTTTTTACAGTGGCCCATCCTCAGGAGCCTCACCACCCCTCTGAAAAGCCAGTCATCCACTGCCATAAATGCGGGGAGCCATGTAAAGGTGAAGTACTCCGTGTTCAGGCCAGACACTTTCACATCAAATGCTTCACCTGCAAAGGTAAGACCGTGATATTCATCGGTTGAAATGAGTCAAATTGTGTAAAGGTACCTTGAACCAGTGAGGTCATGTTTCCTGAGACTGGTCAGTGACAGGATATTCTTGTTGCTCAGTTCTAAAGGATTTATGGGTGGGGAGGGTAAAGAATGGAGGGTGGAATGGCTGAATCACACATGTATAAGCAGCAAGGTGATTGGCACAACATAGAACAAATTCAGTATGCAAGCATCTACAATTGAATTATATGAGACATCTGGTTTTATTGGGAGGGAGGGTAAAGTCACCACCACTAGAAGACTCAAAATAGCAGATTCTCCTCTGAATATGTATGTGTTCATTCTTGTTCCTTTCTACTGTTCCCGGGGTGCAAGCTACACACTGGATAATTATACCTGAAAGAGGTGAAAAAAAAAATCTTAGCTCTTTTTAATATTATTTTAAATTTTATTTGCTTCATACAATTCTATGTAGACAGTCAGTTTCACATATTTCCTGAATAGTGAATTAGGCCATAATGAGACTCTGGCTGCTTTGAATATTTTTTTTCTGTTTATTGGGGAAACAATAGAACAACACTAAACATCCAAGATGAAATGCTTTATGGACAGTCACAAAAGATAGGAAGAGAAAGTGTAGCCCTAGCAGCCACTCAGGAATCGAGTGTAAATATTTGGGTTGGTTCCAAATGTTGTGTTGTATGTATTTCCTGTTATTTTTATATATGGGGCAAGTGTATGTTGAGATTGTATAGTGTGATGTGATGAAAAGGAGTATAGCATAAGAATACTTAACAAGATTCTATCTTTTTTTGTAGTTTTTGATCCTAAGTGTTTTTTCAAGGATTTGGATAAATCTGGGTTGTTTTTTTTTTAAACTGTTAGTAGCAACCACTGCCTTTCATTAGGGATAGTTATGAAAATGAAGCCTCTTTTAACTTAGTTGATTGCTGAAAGTAGGTACCTGCATCCAGAAAAGCCCACCAAAAAGACCCCGATGGGTACTGACATCCAAGCGAGAGATGCAGGGTGGTCGCTGAGGAGCACGTCCCGGGGCGAGCAGGAGCCCTAGCCAGGTGTTTCAGGAGCGACACCTTGAGAGGGGCAGCGGTGCAGGGGATGGCTACAGAAGGGGAAGGAGCAGGAGACAAGGGGTGTCTCTAGCAGCCATGCTGACACCGTGACCCTCAGATCCTGCTCGCTGTGGACCTGTCTGGCTCTCTAGGTCTCCACATCCATGGGACCTTATCCTCTGAGCCTCCCACTGCCTCAGGCCAGCCCGTGTGAGCCTCCTTTACTTCCAGCTCCTCCTGGCTTGGTCTTCTATGCTTTTGGGGCTCCCTGACTGTCTGGGCCTCCCTCCCCATGGGCTGGGATTTTCTGGGACTCCCACTTCTATGGATGCCTCCCCTTTTTTGGAGCCTCATTCACCTCTACTCGTGAGCCTCCCACTCGCTCTGGGCTTCATTGACTCTCTTGCTCTCAGCCTCTGAGGGCTTTGAGTCTCTGAGCCTCCCAATTTTTTGCGGGGCCTCCAACAATTTTGGCCACCCTGACTCTCTATAAGCCTTTGCTATGAGAGTTTCCCACCTTTTTATTGGCTTCCCATGCTTTTAGGCGTGCAACTCTTCAGACTCTGCTCCCCGCCTCCCCAGTGGGCCTCACACACACACACTCATGGGTCTTTCAGTGTGTGAGCCTCTGCCCGCCCACTGGGCCTCCCCCTCTGCAGGACGCCATTCTCTCTGCCTCTCCCTTCCTGTTGGCCTGGGCCTTATAGGCTTATGGACCTCCACTGCGCGAGCCTCTCCCACTCATGGCCCTGCCCCGCACAGGGCCACTACTCTGAGCCTTGCCCCCAGATATGTCTCTATAGTTCTATATTTGTATTTATATTTGCCTAAAATCTGTAAGGAATCTGCATGGCAGGCACCTGTGTTACTGCAGAGCTTTGTCCCTGTCGGGAGAGGCCTCCCGCGAAGGGGTTCTAAGGCTTTGGGTTGTGGAGCTGCCTTGGGAATGGGAAGAGCCCTGCCGCTCCCCAGAGCGAGGACCTGAGGGACTCTCAGCAGCTCCAGCTCATGCCACTGAGCCCTACGTGACCACAACAAGGACTCACTGTGGGGTTTTTTACAAAAATGAGGTTTAATGAAGCATTAAATAATTGTAAGACTACTCTGTGAAATCATCACCTTTGAAGATGGGTGTTTGAAGGAGGAAGCAAACCTGACTCCTTCATACAGTTTCTGTTTAATGGACAACAATATAGACTTGGCTGAATTAAGTAACCACAGTTAAGTGGGATGAAAGGTGAGAATATGGAGAAATACGTTAAAAAAAAGGAAGGGTTGCACAGCCACCATCTGCCGTATCAGTCCTAGCATAACATAGGATGGATACAATGAAAGGGCTTCAGGCTTGAGGTGAACGTGGTGAAGCTGGTGGCGAACATGGAGAAAGGTGCTGAAGTAAATCAGAGTAACTGAGTAACTAAAACAGAGTAGCGGAATATGTACTATGGAGTTTTTCGCTTCCTTTAAACCTAGCTTATCTTTTCTAAAAGTCTGTATCTAGCATGTATACTGCAGATCCAGACTTCAAAAAGTGCCTCGAGCCCAGTCTGTGAGTTTCAGTTATATTTTTCATGTGCCAGATGCAAGTGGAATAGTATAGTAGTGTGATTGCTGTAACTCTGTTGGTCTGTTTCCTACATAGAATGGTTTAGGATGGAAGGGACCTCAAAGAGCATCTAGTTCCAACCCTGCTGCTAAGGGCAGGGACACCCTCCACTAGACCACGTTGCCCAAAGCCTCATCCATAGATGATGGGATATAGCAGAAATTAGAAATATTTGTTTTCCTATGTTACTAAAGGTTTTTTTTAAAAAGTCACTTCAGTTATTTGTGTGCTGAAAAATGAATGACTAGAATCTAAGAAATTCTGTGTTTGTTACCTGTGTTTTTTAGTTAAATACAGCTAGATAGCTCAAAACACAGAGAGGAGCACTATCTGCACTATTCCTGAAATGCTTGGGGCAATGCCATCTTTCTGTATTACAGTTGCTGTATTTCAAGCAGTACTTGATGTTGTATAATCCCTAAGCAGTTCCAAACCAGCAACAAGCTGTTTCTTTTACCATTTCTGCCTTTACAGAAGACACTGGATGAGAGTTTTTCCAGCAGCAGGCCAGCTAAGACCTTTTGAGTCGTGGAGGAGAGTGGGAATTCAGGCCAGGTGGCAAACAGCGTGCCTAGAGCCTCCTGATAAAGCAAGGGTGCAGACAGAACAGAGCTCTGGAATTGTTTCTGAATGCACCAGATTAATCTTGCTATTTTTGGGGAGTCTAATTTCTTCTTTCACTTGTTTTTTAGTTACTTACTCATATGCTGCTTTTGTGCTGTGACTATTCTCTTGCAGGCATGGGTTTAGCAGGATACTTTTTTTTTCTTCCCCTCCCCTTGGGCAGTATCTAAACTCATTGTGGCTTCTGTTTATGGAGATGTTTCCAAGTTGATGACAGTTTAGTATTCTGTAATATTATTGATCTCATGACTGCTTGCGTGAAGATGACCAGAGAAGGGAGAGCTATAGAAATCTCTCTCTCTGATGGAAATGGAGCTGTATTTTTTATCATTGGCTTGTTAAGGAAACTTTGAGCTTGTAGAACATAACTGGTTACGTGTGTTCACTTACTGGTTAGGAGAAGGGAGTGACAGTGTGGCTTCTGCCTGTCTGCAGTATCTGCACATCCCATTTTGAACTGAGAGAGACAGTGCTGAATCTTAGAGATGTTTTTCTTGCTGCTCATTCTGTCTGTGCCTTATTAGTTGGGTTTGCCAGCAACTGAGTGTCATCTTTTTGTGTTCGTTTGTTTTTTCACTGAGAGGAAGGAAAGGAGGGGGTCTGGGAGGTTGCTCCAAGTCCTGTTTTGAATCTTAGACCTGAGCTGCAGTGCTTGGTTATTGTCGGCCTCTCATATTTAAGTCAATACACTTTTTGTTTAAACCATATAGTTATTTACTCACATTGTGTGTTGTCTGACCATATGGTTCATACAAGTGGGACACAGCTGTTCAAGTAGGCATTTTTTCCCCTCTTAATCTAATGGGTTTTTAATTTGACATGACTGCGACTCTACAGGAGGTGGAGTTAGACCCCCTCAGCTTATACAGCAGTTTGTTGTTAGCCAGAGGAAACAACTCCTGATACTGGAACCAGAACGTATCAGACAACCAAGCCACGTGTAGATGCAGCTTTCTCCTTTCTGTATACTAAAGTTTGCTCTTGAGACTTCAACTCATACATCTACAGAGTGAAAGACTTGAACAAGCATGTACTTGTCTGACTGCTGTCATACCTGGTGAAAATGTTTAAACTTTTACCCATAGCCTTAGTCTGATAGTCCAGTAAGGTGTGGGAAAAAAACATTTCCTCATAAAGCTGTCACGCTTGTTGTATAATAGCAGAGTTTCAGTGTGAACCTGTTCTTACTTTGCTCTGTATGGGATTCCTTTTTTTTTTTTTTCGTTGCCATCCATGCTCTCAACTTTTTGTTTACATCATACTGTTAAGCATGTTTGATATGATTGTAATACTGCATCCCTAGGTTATGCCAGAGACACACAGGCACTACATGATTGCTTGACATGCCTGTCAGCGGTGGTTGCTGCACTGCAGGACTGTGGTGACTTAAGCCTCCATGCTGCATCAGCCAGCTCAGGACATGCTCATGTGTCATGTTACGTGATTGAACAATCATCTTCCCCTGTAGTTTGGTGCTCTGTCCATCTCTGGACTCTTTCTCAGAACAGAGTAACTGCTTCCTGTCAAAGATGGCAAGTAAAACCTCCACCGACTGGCATGTTCCCATACCCCAATGATAAGATGCATCTAGCTGTTAGTCCCGGCCTGTTGAGAATCAAGTGTATGCAGCTGGTTTGTCCTATCTGCCTGGCAAGGCTGGCTAGTTCTATTTGTGGTGCCAGATAAGAGCTGATAAAAAAA